TAGTCGATAACTTGTTTAATTTATTCCCAATAACCCTGAGTTCGTGTAGTATATTTTTTCCTAAATTTTCCCGTTTAATAAGTCATGACCATCAACTGCATAGCTGGTTATACTATACTATACGAAATGATTATTTATGTCATTATAATATTTGACATGCATTTGCATGCATTCATTGAATTCACCAAGCGTGACTAACATATATGTAGGCACATGTCATTAAAGTTGTCCATAAACAGTTATTATAAAGTATATGTATATTTTTTTTTTACTGCGTTTATGTTCTTTAACTAAAAGTGCACAATCATAGGTATAAACACGATATATTGAAATAATATTTACTGTAAAAAAGGAATAATTTATTCAAAAAAATAAACTAAAAAGCATATTAAATTCTAGATAGCTTAATTGTGTAGAAGTACCAGCTTAATACACTACCATAAAAGTTAAGTTAATTAGCTGCTAAATTCTAAGCGATAAATTTTTCTTACCAAAATTTTTCTTACCAAAATTTGTTTTTCCTATTAATATACCGATTTGAACACCTATAGTTATCATCCACGTGACCAGATATTTACTTATATACAACGCATTTCTACATACMGCTACCTTTATCAATCCATTAATAACTGAAATTAAATTTTGATTTACTTACAAAAATATAAAACCTAATAATACTCTTGATGTATTTTATCTATCTGATCACTCTCAAAAATGTTGCCTCAAATTACAGCTATTATAATACTACAGTAATTAAGTTAATTAACTTGGTATAGATTATTTACAGTTACATTTTACTGTATAATTTTTGACATCACATAAATTATTATATTTACATTTTTTTTTTTAGACAATTAATATGAAAAACAAAAACTGTATATCACGTAACACTTTACAAACAATATTCTAACAAAAATAATGCTTTCTAGTGGATTAGTAGCGACACCTGGACTATTTTTTTTTTTTTAACCCGTGGCAACATGGGCCATTGGGGATGGGGGTGGTATTGTAGGTTTTTTAACGGTTGTGGAGAGAACACGTGAGTGTTTTTGGGGCAGAATTTTTAAATAGGCACCCGTAGGTTTCTGTCATGCCCGGGTGGGAGGCGGCGGTCTCTCTTTCCAGACAGCTAGCATGAACTGCCCGGAAAGCGATGCCGCCTATGACCTGGGTTCGAACCGGCGACGGAACCGACGCCTTAATCCCCCCCCCCTGGACTATTGTTACTGACTCACTGTATATTCGTGCTCATTTTTAAATGTGTATTGAGTAATTAGTGTATCTAGCACACAATACTGTTATTATATTGTGTATTATAATACTTTTACAGTCATCTCTGATAATATTTAATTGCATTTCCTATACAATTAAACCTTTGGTTTTATCTGAAGGTTGACTTCTATAATTAAAACTAAAATTGTTGACGCTTGAGTGCACACGTACCGCATGTTTTACTGTAGAGTAAAATACCAGKGCTTGACATATTAGTAGATCAGAAATTATAAGTTATGAATTATGATAAGCATTAATATCTTTGATTAAGTAATCTAAAATGATTTATATATTTATCTGTTAATTTTACGATGACCTGTATGCCAATATACAATTTTTTCTTGTTGTCTGTCCTGGTTATTAAAAAAAAAACTTAAATTTTTTTATACAAAATATGTTTAAATTTTTTTATGGTATAAATGGTAAGGTTAGATAACGAGTAACAAACAAAAATAAATGAATTACAATAATTAAAACGAAAAATCCCCTGTATAATATTTCAAAAAAGTATTTTTTTTACTTACCACTGTCTGTAAAAATTAATATTATCATAATTATCTATAGATAAAATATAGAAACACGTTTTTAAGAACCTACATTTTCTCATCGGTAGAGAATATTTTTATTTAAGTAGGTTTAGTTATATACATATCTAATGGACTGATAAAAGTCAGTAAAGCTCAAATGTAGTAGAAAGTATTTTTTTTTAAATCTATTTAGATTGCAATTCTGTAACTTCCTTCAATAATTCGTTTAATGAAGACATAGTTGTCACTTGTAAATTCATGTATGTTTTTTTTTTATCTTTCCACAGGGAAAATAAATTATTGTGCAATATATTTATAACTTAAGTACACTATAAATACTTTTTGRTCACCTTTTTGTGTAATATGAAATATAATATCTTGTAATTASGTAGTACATACTATTATCAGTTCTAACTAAGAATATAATAATAAATTAATAATTATAGGCATTAACTGCTAATAGAATTAATGTTCAGCAAAATCAATTATGTGTGGTTAGATTTAATGTTAAGGTGARTTGACTAAAATAAAATGTCGGATTTCTTCGAAATTTTAAATTTCAATTGGTTAATATCTTTGGAAAATACAAAATATACATCACCAAGTATGAATAGTATGATCTATCTTCATTTTTTTTTTATTAAAATTAATCTTTAATCATAAATAAATAAAATCTTTGAATATTAAAAGTTCTAAAAATTAATTACTAAAGGTAAAAATTGAGATGAGTACATTTTATGAATCTCCTTGTTAAACTAAAAACTAAAAATGTTCATAAGTCATAAACTCATAACTAACTTAAAAACAAAAAGATTGTAAAACAATGTACAWACACACATAGTTTTTTCASCTTTAAATTTGATACTGTAGAATCTAAAGTATAAGTGTAACTATTCTAATAGTAAAGTTAATAACACAATTATATATATATATCCAATTGGTTTCACTGTACACTTATTGAAACCGGCCAGTGAAGCCGTGGGTGAATGCTCTTCCCGGTATTAATTTAAACAAAAAAATAGGATGTCTTAATTCGTTCTTATATTACATGTTTAATATAGTCATACATCTTATGGGGTACTTCGCCAATTGTGAAGATATACCTAATTGTTGAATTCCAAAATAGTAAGAGTAGAATATTAATAATATTTAGCTGAAATTGTATTCAATAGCTTTAACTACAGTGTTGGTCTCCTCCTATTTATCACTATATATTCTGAGTAAAATTTTTACTTTACTGGACATTGTCAATATTTTTCAAAAATATCCTTTATCACAACGTCGATGGTTTGAAACGTATTTATGTCGTGCAGCATAGTAACTGCGTATTTTATTTATCTGCAGCAAAATCTTGTACCTATAAATAGGTTTGACGAGATTCGCATTGATTTAACAGACGAGTATTTCGCGATGTTCTATTACATATTGTGATGGTCATGGCACACAATTTGTAATTAATGAAATGAATAAAACTACGAAGATACCTTCTAATTTTCGTTCGTCATTGTCCTGTAGGTAAGAAACTTATTGCACTTGCCAAGCGTTTAAACGCGTACAACGTATGATACTAGGTTGCGTACTTGCTATAATATCATATAATATATGCGATTGATATCAATAAAATTGTACAGTCAGTCGCTTAACGATAAAAAACTCATAGCTATCGCCTACTATTATAATATTTATAATACCTTGCAACATTGTATGTAAGTATTACGTCTTATTAATGAGCTATTATGAATAGCATACCTATACGTTTGATMGTAGGTAGAAAAATTCTATAACTTTAAATTAATTTCCACGCGCACACTCACAATCACCCTAAACCTCTAATTTCTAATCTTTCCTCTGCCACCATTCCCAACAATCCTCCTCGCCGCCTTAAACGTAACTGGTCATGTGATTTACTTTTATAATCAGCATAAAAAAACTTATAAATAAAATCAAAAATCAAAATTTATTATTGAAGTAGTGTCACTGGATGGGCCCTTCTATCACGCCCACATGCCTTGTAAATAATGTTATAAAATTTACTTATTGTATCAAATGTATACTGATTGTAAATATATTGTGGTTTTTATTTGTAAAAAACTAAATTAAACCTCCATGTTTCCCACTGACTGATTAGACGATAAAAAAATAAGAGTCCACGACATCAAAATGTTCCTTATTTTTAATCTATAAATCTGAATTTTATAACTGTTGAGWCGTCAAACATCAAAATAAACATTATTGTGGGATAATATTGATATTAATCACAAATATGTAACGATTAGTAATAATAAATAGCTTCGAAAATTGTACAAAAAAAAGTTTTAATGTATTCATTATTCACAATAAATTCATATTACAAATTAAAAATGTACTGTTGCATAACTATAGAGGTACAAGGTACAGACGATTTTTCATACATTACTTAAATATATATATATATATAATTAACAATGATTAAGTACCAACCAATTTTCACTTTTTTAAGGAGCTTTAAATAGGCAATTTTAAGAATTTATTGTAAATATTTAAAATACCTATTTATAAATTAACTTCAAAAGTAGGTAATTAATTAATAATTTTGTGTTAATATATTTCTATTGTCTTATTGAATATTACTTAATTTGTATAATGAGTAAAGGAGAACTTTCAATATAATTTTGTTTTTTATAGGTAATTCAAAACAGAAACTTTACAATAAAATTGTAACGTTTTTTATTTCTGAAATAGAGTAATTCAATTTTTAGCAATTTATCTGTAAAAATTTGTTAGTTTTTAAGATTTTTGTTCAATTATTTTATAAAGTTATATTATATTATGTAAAATTCTTAAATATTTATGGTACAAAATATTATGATCATGATACAGTGACTATTTTCTTAGTGGTATTGCAGAGAAAACCTCACCTACTACGATTTTACGAGTGGAGGTTTGTTTGTGAAGAGATGGCTCACGGTGCCCGATGAAGATTASACCACCCAACGTTTATAAAATCAAAAAAAAAATTAATTATTTACAATTTAATTTTGATGTCAACAAGTTTATTTATGAACACTTATATTATATCTTCTTAAACAAAATTCAATTTTAACATGTCTAGTACTTAATATAATAAAAATATGTACATATATACAATTTTTAAATTACTATTCTATAATTTTGATTATTTCCATATTTTATACATACTAAATTTACTTATGAATTATAGTAAATAGATAATAATACTAAAGTAACATCCATTCTTTGAAGTTTTTATTTATTCACAGTTTTGTTTTTTTGTTTTTACATATGGTATTCGGAAAACTATGAAGTAAATTATTACTTTTAATTGACATTTATTACTAATCTTATAATATTATGGTATTGATTACTTTTATTTGATAAGTACTTGAAATTACTAAATTGAATCTGTATGAAAATGATATTTAAAATATTTAAAGTATTGTAGTTTTATTACTTAACAAGTAACACACAATAAACATATTATATTATTATATTTATAATAATAAACATAACAAAAAATAAAAATAAAATCAAAACTATGTTAATTGTCTTAAATCTATGTTGTTTAACTGAACCGAAATAATTCAATTATTTTTAATACCTCGCGGTGAAAATATATTATAAAACATGCAATGTATAATTATATACTATATGCATGAATATTTATGTGTTTATGTAGGTATATTTAAATGTACAAAGATGGGCAACTTAAAATTAAGATATTTAAGTCTGTTGGGAAAAATTATAAAAACTGTATATTACGTTTATAAAATACAATATACTATCAATAGTATAACATTATTATATAACTCGCCTCACTAAATAACTATTAAATTTATATGTATACATATAAACTATACAATATTTTTGTTTTGGAATGGGACACTGAAGTCGTCAATTAGATGCCTGCAGGTGGCTATTAGCTATGGCTACACGTGTAATACAATACTTCACTCTTAGAAAAACGATAGTCAAATTTTCAAGAAAAATTGTTCCACAAGGTAACTTTGAATTTCCTATTCACCGAAAAACGGTAACCGTATACGAAAATATTTAATCGCAACCATGAMGATACTAATTTACAGACATAAATTAAAAATGAACATCAAGTTATTGATTTTGAAAAAGAGTTATTGTACAGTTAATGTTTACGGACGTCTTAACTTATGTACACATGTTACACACGATGCGAATGAACGAAGTTGTGATTTAACATAAGAAATAAAAAATACTCAATCATTGAATTATACATTGTTGATCGTTAGAATTATTTTCCATTGGTAGCTCCCTCTTCCATCTGGAATGCTATGTTGTCGAATCCCAAACTTGAAAATTGTCCCGAACTTCTGTGAGTCTGTGTCCGCCTATCTAATATAGTTTTCAAATCAAAGTCATGCGAGGATATCCTAAAGTCCAAACTATTTTTTTTCTTCAACGCTTCAGATTTCTTTTCTTCATCTCTGATCTCTGCTTCTTTTTCTCTTTCTTCCTTTTTATGTTCATTATACATCCATCTATTATACATACACATAATAACATAACATATATTATATAAATGATTATGGAAATGATTATACAGTTAATAATCGAGTTATCTAACAGATAGGTTGACATTTTCTTATCAGATTTTATTGTTAGCTATTAGTGTATAAAAGCCCGAATTGAGACCTTTAAGTCATATGTATTTTTCTTTTTAAGCCAAGAAGGTTGCTCTGTTGTCAACTGTAGGTACCTCGTGATTGAGTAGGCTACTGTAAGTCCTACAATGTAGGTCCTACATATATATTATTAACCTCTCTTGTGTAGAAAAAAGTACAATACTGTTTTTTAACACTGTTTGAACAATATTGGCGTCGTAGGTGTTATAATTACTCACATAAAAGGCCCGAGATTATACTCGGCAGTCTTCCCTTAATCCGGGCCTGAGTGCACCAAAGAATTAAAAATAAARTAATATAATGCTAACAAAACTGTATAACCTAACTAATTGCTGAATCTTATAATATGATTATATTTTTTTTAAACCATATTTATAGAATTATAGATAAATACGATGTAGAACATCAATATTATACTAACAGAAATATGAGAGCTGCAGGAACAGTTAATGCGCCACCGAGTAAGAAAAACGCTCCAGGAACCGTCTTCAGTGTGGCCTTGTACACAGCGCTGTACATTGGTCCATAAATTAGGGGAACCAGAGCTTCACATACGCCAAAGAGTGAATTTACCTTGCCTGAAAAAAATTAAGCACGATTAGATACAAAAAAATCGATTTTAAAATAACCATTKCAACATACCTAGTTCATCTGCCGGTACGAGTTTGGAAATAATCGATCTCATCGCGATAAATGACGTGCCGTTTACAATATCAACAAGTGGTGCTGTAAACATAATATTTTTAATATCACTTGTATTTATTTTTACATTTTAAAAAATRAACAAGAAACATTTGTAGAAACATATTTGCTTTGTYTTGACACTTGTATATTTATAAAATATTACGGAAAAWMAAATCAGAAATATCAGAGCTACGAAATTGTATTGCTGACAAATTATTTGAACATCATAGTAATTATTATAATATTTAATTTACACATTAAAAAATGTGCATGGGCGTAAATTATAATACAATATACTATTTTTTTACAAACATTTAGATTTTCAGAACTATATGTTATAGTTTCTTCACGTTTAAGGCGATTCTTCTTTTAAGAGCAGTAATGAGTAGGTACTTCCATTTAATTTTTTTCGTAGTTGAATTGATACAATCAAAACTAAATTATAAATTTCATTTACCTYCACTTTTTATTTTGATTAATAGGTACTACTAACTAAATTTTTACCTAATTGAATGTTTTCGACGCTTACGTACTTAAATAATATTAATTGATAATGATGTTCTTACTATAATTATCTAATTTTAGAGCAATAAGATTATATTATTATGAATTATGATTGCCAGATATTATTATTATTATATCATAGGACATTTATTATTATRGGTACCCATCATTAATTTTTCACTTTTAAACATGTGTACGGTTTATTATTTTACAAATAATTGTCATACCTATAGGTATTATATTATTTTTATACRCATAAAATTATATTGYATTTTCAGAACCTATAATATTATAGAATTATCGTGACGTTAAGGCGCTTTTTCTTTAGCTACTTTCATTTGTATTTAATTTTTTTGTTGAATTGTTACTAACCCAAATAAAATACAAAATCCGTTGTAGCGAACGCGTATACGAATCCGGCCAATATTTTGCTTATACATGATATTACTCCGATTAAAGCGTCATCGATTTGCAGCATGTGACTGAACACCCCGACCGAAAAAATTGTACCTGTTTAGATAAAAAATAAAAACAAAACACGAATATATTTATCCTAGTGTAACATTGTCTAAAAACTTGAAACTTTAATTGKTGGATAAATGTTGACGAACCTACAAGATTAGTGATCATCGAATAAGTGGAAAACATACTGTAGTTCACTTCGTCCCAATTGAATCTTACGCGTGTAAACAGATACATCACRGACATTTCACCTGCAACATTTTATATTATATTTTATATGTTTGAACTGTTGAATTACAAACCATAATCTTAATATTATATTTACACTTAATAGTTAACACAATATTGTATAAAATTATCTAATTACAAATAACGTACAAGAGCCTGGGACATTACAGTATTCTCTAGCCATTGCAGAGTCCAGACGTCATTTTTAAAATCTTTTGAGCCATACTACGTGATGCAATAATGTTGCGTAGTATGACTCAGTTGACTTAAAAACGACCGTTCATAGGCCTTAACATTCAATATATTTCACGATGTTTTAAATTTCGTGGATTCCATTGAATTATTATTAGTAGTACGAGTAATTAGTAATAGTAGTTAGCAGTTATAGTAGTACTAGTAGTAGTCGATGAATTGATATTTGAAAAACTATAATACATTTTGTTTTTATGTTAATACATTTTAAAGAAATATTTATTTWTTGACMATTTTTTTTTAAATTCAAATTCCATTCATTACTGCCGTATTATCCAACTGTCCAAGGTTATACTTGGCTCTTGTTTGAATATCAGAATAAATATTAGGACTACTGACAAACTGAGTYACAATTTTTTTAGTTATATAACTATTAAGTATAATTATAAATTATTTATATGCTCAATTTAATTATATTTACTTACTTGAATATAAAAAAAGAACGTTTTTCAATYCGATTGATAGGAATTATAAAACGATATTCATAATAAGCATCAACTATTCAAAACCATTTATATATTAACAGACAGCGATGAAAAATTTAATTGTAAGTAAAAGTTTTCAAAAAAATTTAAAAGCTTTGTTCGGAAATCGAAGGTCATCGTGATTAAAACAATTACGTTGTTAAAATTTTAATTTTCTGCTGCTATTATCTTTTTCACTTTCTTCTATTATGGGAATTTTTCTATATTACAAACAACAAGCTATACCTAACATTATTATTGAGTTTCTTGACTTGTAAATAACCTCCAGATATCTGCATGCACTTCGACTTAAATTAAAATTTATAAATATTAGGTAGAAAAAAATATATATAGGTAAGTAGTTTTTTTTTCAATATGAATAACATTTGATGAAAAAATAATCCACCTCAGAGTACCTTATAAAATAGTACAATTTAATAGATATTAAAGAGATTATTCGAGAGGAAAACATACATTTTTTTATTATATGTAAGTGTTATATAAAGCGTAGACGGTAGYATTGATTAGATATGCATTGCATATTTTGTATTTTATATAGGAGATGTTGATATTAATTATTAGGTATAGGTAATGTTTTACAAAATTTATATCCAGCATTGTATATATAACATATTTTTGTATGCCTATCAAATCAATCTTATAAAACAATATTTTATCAAGCCTTAAGTTGTACAAATTCCAAGGTCGATTAAACAAGTGAAAAATGAAAAAAAACATTGTTCACTCATTATGAAAAAATAATAATACATTCAAGCATATAAATTATTTGTTTAGTTTTACTAACCGTGCATAGGACCCATTACGGTAATGACGATAAACATCAAAGCAATAATTCTTAGTCTTCGGTTGTATTGTCCTTCCTTAAATGTCACTCGAACGGCTTCTTTTATATGGCTTAGGCTGAAAAAGTCCTTGAGGAAATCCACACAGGACGTGTTCCTCGGCGGGGCTTTGCTCTCAATACTAATCTCTGGTGTTGTCTCTTTGATGAAAATCATGCCGTATACAAAACCAAATATGTATAGTACTGTGGCTATGATGTAAACGCCATAAAATCCGAGTTCTCTGAACAGTACACCCGATAACGCGGTACCGATGGGCACACCTACAGAACAGAAAACGTTCACTATACCAATTCTCAAAGTGCGCATTTTCACCTGAAAAAAATCAAAACGAACCAATTTAAAAAAAAAATGTTAMCCTTTTAATATGGATCTCTGCAATGAAAAAAGTATTTTTACACGTTTCCAAACGGAATCACGTGAATAACAGYGGATGATTAATAACTCCACGAGGAAATTACAATAACTCTACGATTTACACCTTAATACCTTATATTTTCATGAAAGTATTCAAATTACAAAAAGGACTTATAAGGGAAATTACATTATTAGCAAGACTGTGATGGGTTAGGTTTTAACCTATGGTATAGCTTAAGATAGTATGTATATAGTCACTTGTTTTTATACTAACCGTAGTCACGTCTCCTACATAGCTGAACACGGCCATAAACATGGTCATCCATCCACCAGTTATAGCCGGTGGTACGGACTCCACGAGCCCAGCCACCTCCATAGGGAGATCGTAAAAGTAGTAAGTACAAATCAACAGGCCGATGCTGGTGAGGAATTCGCCTATGATTGGTATCAGCATGCACGGCTTACGCTTGTGGTTCCGGTCGCTCCACGACCCGATGAATATTATCAGCACCGACGGTATGCTGCTCTGCACAATCGTCTTCCATATTATCATGTCAGCCACCAGCTCTTGAACTACCACCTCATCCTCCGTCGTGTAGTTGTCCGTCGTCCGACTCTCCAGCGCTGAGCACGTGGAGTTGTCCAGATGAAGGTTCACCCGGCACGCCTTCTGCAAGTTCAGATTCTGCGTGGCGAGTGACGCCAGCACGCTGGACACTATATAACATCCCAACATTGGCTCCACCGTACAGTGTTTCAGCATGAACTTGGCTTTTGACATGATGCTCATGGCCTGCCATGATTCGTGATTTTCTGACGACGGCGACGACTTCTCGCGTCTTACCCCGCTTGTGTCGTAGGTCATTGCGTTTTCGGGGTTGTATGGGATAGTGGTCAAACGCAGCTATGAGTTAAATCGAATATGTTTAACAGCAAAGTACACTTGAAATCTGGACTCAAACATGTCGGCTGAATATCTAAAACCAAACATAAAAAAAAAAAACTTGAAACAGTTGTTAAATATTCGTAGTTAGTCATCGTCATAAATATAAAAATAGTATAGGTGAGGATTCGATTTTACCTTTAATTAATTTAAAAATAAAATAATATCACGTCTAAAAATATAACATAGATGCCTGCTGCTTAGTTGAATGGAAAATTTTTAAGAATATTGTGCAGGGACTATATTTACATATTTTTAAAGTAATTCATATATAGAATAACGTTGAACTTTATGAAAACAACACAGAATTTACAGAGATTATAACTTCAAATCGATCGATATTTTTTTCGTGCAATTTATTTTTAAGCGTTTTTGTGTCAAGATCATGAAGAACTAAGAGAAAATTCTTTGCCAAGTAATAATAAAGTGCTTTAAGGAAGAACCATTGTAACGTCATTGAGATTAAAAAAACCACAAAAATCTTCGGCAACATAATTATTTGAATTTTAAAACAATAAAATAAAAACGATAGTAAAAATATAATAACAAATTATTATGAGCCGATGTGATAGGTTTGTGGTAATAATTATAATCGAGCGGGTCAATGGTCCACAKCAGTAACTTATAAGTTATAAACAATGACCTTATGACACACTTTGTGCAACACCATTAAAGTGACAAACTATCGTGTATATAATAATAATCAATATTACTTCTCTCTTCATCTGTTTTACTCTTCATTTTGCTCTCTCCGTCTCTTTTTATATCTCCGATCACGTAAGTGACTTGAGTTTTTTAATTTTTTTTCTTTATTAAATAATGCATACTCAAAAGAATGTCGACAAATAACCGGATAAATCGTGGTGACCATTAATGATCGTGATATCATAAACGTTTGTCGTCCATAGCATCACACAATAATATAATTTTCCAAATTAATACGAAACAATAAGTCGACGATTTGTGAAAACAGAGGCGCAACCGCGCAACTAGGATATATTTTTTTAGATAACTCTAAATGTGAACTTTATTTTTTGYAAAAACCATAATATTACAGTGAAATTAGTAATTGCCCTATAAAYTCCATATTTTAATACTAATATTAGACTTAAGTTAATATGAACTGTAAGGATAGTAAAATATACATTTATAATGAAATAAGAATAAATAAGAATTTAAAATAATAATAAACATTTTAAATAATAAATAACTAACAATTTTAATTGATTGTTTTTTTTTCTCATCAAGAAGACGTTACACTCGCATTTAGAGTTTTTGTTTTACAAGAATGTCACATAGATAATTTACGTTTAACAGTTGATGTTAAGTTTCATTGGTTTTGATATTAAGTTCAATCAATTAATCATCAAATTTATACCTTACGATATTCTTTCTATTTTCTTAAATGATTTTTCAACGTTTTTAATAAAAAGCTAATCATACAAATTGTAAAAAAACAATAAAAAGTAAAATAGTAAAACATATTATGCAATGCTAATGGCTCACTTTAAAATAAAACATAAAAAGCACTCACAAAGAGGACACAGATAATGTTGTTACCTTTATAAATTTATCAATTAGTTGATTGCTCTTAAAATTTCAAATTAATAAAACTAACGTAAGCCACTTAATTTAAATTTGRAGTACGATGCACTTGTATAACTGAGACAACAGATGCTAGTTGGAGCGTTCAAGGAATTAAAATTTTTTTTCAACTCTTTATCGGTTATTGACGTTGATATAATTTTAATTATATTGTTTTTTTTTTGTTTCATCGTAATTTTAATTGAAAAAAAATTTTTTGTGGAAAKTTCTATATTATATTATACATTTATACATACAACATTTGATAGCTAAATTATTGTGTTTTCAAAAATTGGAACATTGAATAAATTTAATTCATAAGTAGTTGGAAATTTTAAAGTTTCAATCTATACATTTTATGATTATTAACAATAATAAATTAGATTAGGTTACTATAACCTCTATATTGGCCTATTAGTTTGACAATTAAAATATCATAATTTTAGATTTACACTTAGCAAATTAATCTAAAATTATAAAATTATAAGTAACTAAACTGTAATTCTAAACTATAATTCACTAAATAGAAAACAGAAAATTATATTAAGAATTAACCTTGAGTTTTGAACCATGTCATACGCCCATATCCTTAACCTACCACAACATCAATACATAATTTATTCAATATTTAAGTGTAATACCTAATTTTAAATAAAATTGCATAGAAACATAAAGTAATAAAATATATTTTATTCTCAAATATTYAAACGACACTAGTATTATTCTTTTTTCTAGTTTACAACATTTTTAGAATGGTTTGTCAAATTCGCTTTGTACCAGTTAGGACTATTGTGTTAAAGGGTATTTATAAAATATATAGTGGTTTTTGTTTGACTATTTTTTCAGTATGGTTGGTAAAACATAGATGAGCAATAAAAATATATTCATAAGTAAGAAATACACATTATTCAAATAAATAATATTTTTTGTAACAAATTTATCTTTCAGAATGTCTAGACCTCTAGACACAAGCAAAGAAAATATAGTTGTGCAATTTTCTATAGTTCAGTGTTATAAGTCTATTATTTTAAGATAAAAATACGAGTAGGTATAAGGTTGATATCAATAATATAATCTATTAATTATTATGTTATATAAATACTATTATAATAATTGAAGTAAAAATCAGGTGCTTAGATTATACCTATTATTCTTATATTCTTATGTTAGTAGTTTTAACCATAACAATTACAACAGTAAAAGACGTAGTTTATAATAATGTAACAAAATATAAACAATAACGGTATAGGTAAGGTATTATTCATAGGCGCAAATGGGGGCTTAGCGGGTATTAGCATCCCCAATTTTAAGATTAGCACCCTCAAATAATATTCGTGTTTATTTATCAAAAACTTCTATTTACAAAGAAAAAAACTAAAATGAGAAAATGCATAGCTTAAATACCCTTAGTTTTTTTTTTATTRAAATTGTGCCTAACTATTATTTTTGTCAATTAGATTTTCAAATCGTTAAAATTAAATATATTTAATGTTTTAAACACGCCTTTGTCAGATTATTATTTGATTTCTATAGGTTCACAATTTCATATAGTATTATGTACAATCGCACTATTTATCACCGAAGTAGTTACGTTAGAGGCTAAAGTTTATAGTTAAGGAAAATAAATCAAATTTTCCTAGAACCTCGTAATCACATTATACTTGTAGATTTTTACCGATTTAATACTTTCAAAACATTTAGGATAAATACGCGTTTTGTTACCTACCGACAAACGTCATTAGGCACAAGCACAATACGATTAGTCTAAAAATATCCATTGCACATATTTATGTATTATGAGGATTGTATTTGTGCATTGTTACCACATTGAATTATATAATTATAATTTGGTAGATACTGTACCGACAATTAGTATATATCGAAACTTATTATCGTGCACCTTAAGTAAAAGTAATTAGGCGCATAAGGTGTTTGTAGTGATGAGTTAAGAACCACCACATTGACCTACAATTAATAGTAGTAATAGTGATTGAACATTTATAATGTTATAATATTATGTTGCTGGCAATATCAGCGGTAGGTGCCATCGTCCCAATATTGTTGTTGTCAATAAAATCTGCTTTGTTATACAACTACTACAGGTATCCTCAGAATTAATAATTGCGCTTTTATAATGAAATATGTTACATGGCAGGCCGATATGTTTTTCAAATGACTTTTCTATTGAGATTTGTATAAATTATTGTAAAACACAAAGGTAGGAGGCGCATTGATTAGTAATAATAATCAATGGTAAGAGTTAAGAGTCACTACTAATTTATAATAATTTCAAAATGTATGTTTGTAATACAATATGTAACTTTCTTGTTATAAATTTATCATCAAGTGGAATAAAATAAATGTTTAAATATTTTAATTTTACTATAAAAAAATACCTTTTTATTGAATATAATTATTCAAAGAACTCGTTACTCGTTTATTAATATTAATACTTCACATGTCACTGAACCGACTTTTTACCAAGTACCTACATTTTTTTTTTTTTTTGAATAATTGTTTATAATCTGTATATTCTACGAATCGGTACTTAACAACGTGAACCATTTAACGTTTATTACAACTGTATAAATAATAAATAACATCATTCAACTAGTTCAAGGCTTGATGATCTGGCAAATAGTGTACTATATTGTATGCGATTTGCGAATCTTATTAATTTATTATTTTAAAAACTTGAAAAATTCAATAAATATTTTAAGACAAGAAAATATACACACGTCATCTAGCTTACAAGAATTAAAAAATGATTAGTGTCTATTTCATAGAMTGTGAATGAAAGTATTTTTTCGGTACGATCGTTTGTGTGAGGCTTGAGAAAATACTCAAAATTTCAATTGCTGTAAATTTTAATATTAGTTTTTTTTGAAAATAACCATTTCCTCAAAATGAATGGTGATGAGTTATAGCCAATTACTTAATTCAATGTGATATTCAACACAAAACGTAATACCTACGTAACATATTATGATTCAAATCTATTCTACTGACAGTTCTACCTGTTTCTTTATACTATTGTCTTCAAACCGTATTTCAATTATATTATTATTTAGTTTTGCATATATTATGTTATAATATGCTCGTAAAATATCAATTAGCTACCCAGATCATAATTTTATAAAAATCTTGATATCGACCTTGTAAAAAACAAAATTCATAATATGCGAACCTAGTTTTAAGTTCCTTCTCATCATAATTTAATGGTATTAGTAGTCATTTGGCAACACGTGTATATTTAGCATGTTATACATCATTGTGCTAAAATCGGTAATTCCCGTAACCTCGACCCTGCAGTATCTATAAATAGTTTCCCTCGAAGAAAGTTTAGTGTGACTAAGAGGTCAGGCTAAACTTCCACTTCCCTCCCAAAAAAAAATGTAGTACGAACTCGAACCCGAAATCTGGTTCAAGATAAATTTCCCGGCCAACACG